CCCAGTCCCTCCCAGTGCCCCCAAATCCCCTCTCAGTGCCCCCAAATCCCCTCCCAGTCCCCCCAATGCCCCCCAGTCCTTCCCAGTGCCCCCAGATCCCCTCCCAGTCCCTCCCAGTGCCCCCCAGTGCCCACCAGGCACGTGCTGGTCCCCGAACTTGACGGAGATGATGTAGTTGCCGGGCTCGGTGGGGCAGTAGGACACGCGGCAGGTGCCGTCCTCCAGCTCCTCCGTGGTGATGTCCACCTTGCTGGGGCCCTCGATGGACAGGCTCAGCCCCCCGTATCCTGGGGGGGGGCACGGGGTCAGGACAGACCCCAAAAATCCACCCCAAAATCCCCAGATCCCCCATATCGCATTAAAACACCCTAAAATACCCCAAAAAACCCCCATAAAATACCCCCAGGAACCCCTCACTGGACAGGCTCAGCCCCCGTACCCTGGGGTGGGCACGGGGTCAGGACAGACCCCAAAAATCTACCCCAAAAAACCCCAAAATCCAAAATATCCCAGTACAAAAAAGTGTCCCCAAACCCACTCCCAGTCCCTGTCCCAGTCCCAGTCCCTGTCCCTGTCCCAGTACCAGTCCCAGTCCCAGTCCCAGTCCCAGTCCCAGTCCCAGTCCCAGTCCCTCCCAGTCCACCCAGTGTCCCCAGTCCATGGCTCTCACCAGCCTGGTGGGTGTTGATGGTGAACTGGGCGGGCTGGAACGTGGTGCCCAGTCCCAGTCTGTCCCAGTTCCAGTCCCAGTCCCTGTCCCAGTCTGTCCCAGTCCCAGTCCCAGTCCCAGTCCCAGTCCCTGTCCCAGTCTGTCCCAGTCCCAGTCCCAGTGCCCCCAGTCCCTCCCAGTGCCCCCAGTCTCACCGGCCTGGCGGGTGTCGATGGTGAACTGGGCGGGCTGGAATGTGGTGCCCAGTCCCAGCCTGTCCCAGTTCCAGTCCCAGTCTGTCCCAGTCTGTCCCAGTCCCTGTCCCAGTCCCAGTCCCAGTCCCAGTGCCCCCAGTCCCTCCCAGTGCCCCCAGTCTCACCGGCCTGGCGGGTGTCGATGGTGAACTGGGCGGGCTGGAACGTGGTGCCCAGTCCCAGTCTGTCCCAGTTCCAGTCCCTGTCCCAGTCTGTCCCAGTCCCAGTCCCAGTCCCAGTCCCAGTCCCAGTGCCCCCAGTGCCCCCAGTCTCACCGGCCTGGCGGGTGTCGATGGTGAACTGGGCGGGCTGGAACGTGGTGCCCAGTCCCAGCCTGTCC